ACCCTGTAGAACCCTATCAACCCTAAGATGGCTTTGAACTCCCCCTAAATCCGAACGCCTAAACCCCAACCCTGAACCCTGAACCCTATACCCTAAACCATAAACCCTAAACCCTAAACCCAAAACCCTAGGCCATATAGGGTTTGTAAACCCTATGGTTGTTGGGCTTCAGGGTTTAGGGTTTAGGATTTCACCGCAAGGTTTCGGGTTTTAGGGTTTTAGGGTTTAGGGTTTAGGGCTTAGGGCTTAGATTACAGGGTTCCTTACAGGGATCTATAAGGGTCTCTATAAGGGAATTAAGGAACATACCTTAAATTATAGGGCTCCGTAAAGGGATCTTAAGGGTCTCTATAAGGGTCTCTATAAGGGTCTCTATAAGGGAATTAAGGAATAGACCTTAAAATTATAGGGGCCTTCATCTTATGATTTAAGGTATATTCTTTAGTTAAGGGGTATTTGGTTCTCTGGCCACGGCACCATCGTGAGCCGCCTGCAGCATGTCCTCACTGCCTGAACGTTTAGGGTTTAGGGTTTAGGGTTAAGGGTTTAGGGTTGAGGGTTTAGGGTTTAGGATTTAGGGTTGAGGGTTTAGGGTTAAGGGTTGAGGGTTACTGTAAGGGCTTAGGGTTTAGGGTTTCGGGGTTTAGGGCTCCTACTTGAAGCTTGATGTGTATCATGGCTCGCGGACTATTTGCAGCTTGCTTGGTTCAGGGTTGCTTGGTGGAATATGGTGGAATACGGAACTGGCAGAGATGTGCTCAAGAGCAATATGGGGGCCTTCGTCACCTTAATGCTTGCAACCCTGTGGAAAATATACGAAGTAAAGACTAACCACATGGATATGTTGATGGGCTCGTCCTTGCGATAGTTTGACCCTCCGCCTGAAGCCGGAGCTGATCGTAGACTCTGTAGATCACTGTAGAACGCAGTCCTGAACCCTACATCCATGAACCCCCACATCCTCCTCACCCTTTTCACTCTCAAAACCCGAAATCCCTGCTCCCGACAATTTTGGGGTTTAGGGTTGGGGTTCTGGGTTTGAGAAAACCCTAAACCCGAAGCCCTAAACCGTGTAGCAAACCCTACCACCTGGAGCAAGCCCGTAGGGAATTTTGAGCAACCGCCTTCCAGTCGGACGCAGATCTTGCCTAACTCCCCTATGTTTCAGGCTTTAGTTAAAGGAGACTACAGGTGGGGAGTTTAGGGTATTCTATAAGGCTTCTATGAGGGAAAAAACCTTCCATACGGCTCATATAACGGTAACTACCCACCTGAAAATGTCGTAGATTGAGGGTTTCGGAATCCCGGAACCCTAACCAGACATCCTAAGTGTCCGTATACTACCCTTGTATCCTAAACCCTACCTGGAACGCTTCTGTATGCTATAATAATCGTCCACTTGCAACAGTGCCCGCTTTTGTGCGTCAAGCTTCCAGGTTCATGTATACTTCCAAGAAGAAGTGCAAACAGTTGCTGCTTCTCTAAATTGGGGCTTAAGCTCGCATTGCTTGTGCATGCTGAGTTCATATGAGGGTCCAATAGGACGATTTTAGATTATACAAAGCTCGAGAAATATAAGGCTTATACGACCATTTAAGATAGGGGGTTCTGTCTGATGATACAATGAAAGCGCTCGTCGCCCTCAGCAGCTGCCGCTGGTCCGGCCTCTCGGAAGGACTGCATCATTGCGAAGCATGTGCGGCCATTCAGACATGCTTCCAAAACCAGATCTGCAGCAATCACATGTGGCAGGACAGCAGTGGTGGCCTCTTTCTGGGAATCTTCAAAGTGCATCTCGCCTGTTTGAATGCACAGATCGTGCAGCCCGTGCATATCTTGCAAACAGACATGCAATCTCGATCAAACGTTTTTTGCATGTGCTAAGCGGGGATCAAGTCTACGAAGGCTGCTTTTCGGGCCTCGTCTCGGTTTGAAGAGCCATGGCTTTTCTCTTGGCACATGCCTGGGAGAAGTGCGTTTTGGTGAGGAACCGGTTCAAGCGTGAAATCAGCTGGCTTCAATGGCCTTTGCCTAATCCGGATTCCGATCTAGAAGACCTGCATGCTCCGTCCACACGGGCTTTGGAGCTGAATGTGGAAATTCTCAGAACTATGACACTCGAGTTGGAAGGAAATAACATCGAAGTTCCGAAGCTTGAGAAAGAGGCCCATTCCAGGTTAAAGATTCGAGTTTAGTTTGTATCATGTGTATAAATAAGACAGTATGTTCGGGGTCGTTTCGGGCTGTGTTTGTGTCTGAATGTCTGTGGGGGGTGAGTATATCTATGGCCGTGGGTTCTCTCTCAATCTCGACCTTTCCTCTCCCATCCTCCGCTTTATTTGTCTTTGCCCCGAAACTCCTTGCAGTTCATCCTTCTTTTATCTCATCTTCTATCTCTCCATGTTTCTATCTATTTTCGCCCTCTCCCATTTGGCCCCTACCCTACTGTATATAGACAAAATCATTCATACACATACACATATAAATATACTTATAATAAAATAAACAGACTTCTGAATTCCCTTTATCCCCGTCCGACACTCTCGGTAGTTTGGTTTCCCTTATATTGTGTCATCCTGCATTGCTCTCAGCTTGCTTTGCCTCTCTCTCTCTCTCCGCCTCTTTGTAATGAGATCTTTCGCTGGTCAGATCATCAAGCTGTACGAGGAGGTGAAGTTCAAGCCGAAGGATCCCAAAAGTGCCTACAAAGAAGCATGGGATTTGCGCCGTTTGTATACCTTTGCCTTTCGGCGACAACTCGATGCACGCAAGAGAGGGCAGACTCCTCGGGACAGCCTTGCACTGCTTTCAGTTTTGCCTGTTACTGTATGAGCTTCGGAGTCATCAGCAAGTCATGGAGAGATTAGCTGTTGCAGGACCCCAAGCTTGCCGAGTACTTCGAAAACATTCAGTATTTCAGGCAAAAATGGGCTGATTCCTGCGCATATTGGGGAGTGGAGGATCGCCCGATGCCCCCAGATCAGGAGTCTCCCGATGAGCCTAAATTGACGAAGGATTCGAAGTGGAAGAGCTCTGAGGATGCATGCTATGAGATCAAGGACGAGGCCAAGGACCCGGGAGCCAGCCCTAAGAAGAAGAAAGGCAAAAACAAAAGAACCAAGCCCACCGATCGGGCGCCAGCCGAAATTTCAGTGCCAGCCGAAGTTCCAGCGCCAGCCGAAATTTCAGTGCCAGCCGAAGTTCCAGTGCCAGCCGAAGTTCCACTGCCAGCCGAAGTTCCAGTGCCAGCCGAAGTTCCAGTGCCAGGGGCCCCTTCGCAGTCTGAGCAAGGCTTGCCTATGGATCTGTCTTTGGAGCAGCAGGGCCAGCTTAAAGCTGTGATGGAGAAAATTTGGAAGCTGGAAGCGGAGGTTGCAAGGCAGGGTTTCATTTTATAAAAACTTTCTCATCGAGTGCTATTTCGACCCTTCTGTGAGGCAGGGGAAGCTGCCTACCGATGAGGAGGAAGGCCGGTTTCTGGGTTCCTATAATGGGTCCTTGCATGAGTGGAAAGTCTCGTGATTCCCATGGCCAGCTCGCATGGAGGTTGTATTGTTGCCGACTGCACGGTGCGATTACGATTGTGTCTTTGTGGAGGCGAGGAAGTCCCATACTCAATCGACCGTGTCCCGCTAACTACGCTTTCGTCTGTCGCCCCCAACATTGACCAGGCTGGGTTTCCTCCTGTATGAAGTCTATGAATCATATACTCTCGAAGATTTCCCAGGTTGAGACCCAGGTTGAGGGCCAGGCTGCGCCGACCACAGATGATCAAGTGACCCCTTGTCCGAAGGATAAGGCAGTTGCCGAGGAAACTCCCTATGATGGGGAGGAGAAGCTTGCGAATCCATTCAGGCGCTCGAAAAAGTCTTCCGGCTTGATGGCCCTTTCCTTCGACTCGAAGGGCAAAGATGTTAGCAAGTGTGAGGCTCGAGTTCGTGGCTGCTTGAATTCCACGATGACGTTTGCTCATCATTGAATTGCATGAGCTGGAATCTGTAAATATCATTATTTCCGTATGTCCAGGACAAGGATGCTGAAGATGGCCACGCCGCGGTGAGCCCCGGCGAGCAGCATTCTTTCCGCTCCACGCTGAAGAAGAAAATGAAAAGGGGCAAGAAGGCCAAGAAAGGAGGCAACAAGGCCAAGAATGGAGGCAAGAAGGTTGCCAAAGGCAAAGATGAGAGCAAGCTGCGCAGAACGAGCTCTTACCGGAAGCTGAAGAACTTTCGTAAGCGAGCTGTGCCTGTGGATGCAGCAGCGGCCGAGGCTGCTGATGACGAGTGTCCCGACTGGTGGCAGAATGAAGATGAGCAGGATGGGTCGTGGCCGGCTGATGGGAGCGAGGAGCCCGCCCCTGTGACGAAGGCTGCGAAACCGAAGCCGAAAGCCAAGGCTAAAGCGAAGGCCACGGCCAAGGCCAAGGCAAAGGCCTCGGCTTCCCCGAAAGCCAAAGCAAAGGCCAAAGCCAAGGCAAAGGCCGCAGCAAAGGCGAAGGCCAGCGGCAAGGATCACAAGGTGGCTTCGAACGATGTCCCGGGGGCATCCAAGGATTCTGGGAAGCGAGGAACGAAGCCAGCCAAGAAGGAGGCGAAGCATGGGCTTGAGGATCTTGCCGGCAAGCAAGAGCGAATCTACACCGGCAAGCAGTGGCGCTATGTGGTCCTGCCGGACCAGGTGTTCGGTTGCCGCTCCTGCCGATTCCTTTTCCACGGCTGCCGGTCCTGCACCGCGGAGGGGTTCTCAGGCAAGACCGCCGCGAAGGAGCGCGAGGACCAGGAAAAGTTCTTTAAAGCAGAGGCGGCTAAGGCAGATGGTAAGGTCGGCAAGGGGTCGGCCAAGAAGGGCTCGAAGTAGACTTGTGGGGAATGGCATTGGAAGCTATGTGCTGGTGAACAGCTTCTTTTTTGCAAGGCAGCAAAGAAATATAAATGTTCAGTCTGAGATTGTCTAAGATAGCAGAAAGCGGCAGATCAGTTAAATTTGGAATTAATTGTTGGGGTTCCTTATGTCTTGATTTAGTGGGGTTTCGAAATGACAGGATATCCAGTTTAGTCTTATACTATGTCTATATATATATATATTTATTTATATTTATATTTCTCATACGATAAATTTGCAACCATTCGGTTCATACTGTCGGGTTCATAATCCCAAAAGCCCTCTCCCTTTCTCTCTCAGGCTTCGCCAAGTACTTTGTTCAATGCCATGGGCCTGGGGTGCATCGGCCCATCTGATTCAAAGCCCTCAGGGTGTCGATTTGGGAAGTGGCCTACACACGGCTGCTGTCAGGGTCTGCCACACGCAAGATCATAGTCTCCAGCTATAAGAAGTGGTGTTATAGATATGGAGATGTCCGGGACCTTTGGTTTCGCGTGTGATGGGTAGGAGTGTACGGGGCGAGCCCAACCGCAAATCCTGTGCACAGCGATCAGACTGAACAATTCTGTTCTCTGGTCCCTCTGTTTCATATATGCGACATGCGACACGCAGCTCCGATCAGGTAGGGG